TATCTAATACCGTTTCCCGCGGTGTTGTAGCGCGCTTAGTTCTTCAGATAGCATTAGCGGCCTGGTGAGGGCTAATTTGATCCCTATGGTCTGGTTTGATCAGAAGAAGGTCGCAGTCACGGCTTTTCAGTCAACCGTGGCACAGTTTGATGCCTCTGTCGTTTCCTCCGTGACTCTAGTTTGTTCTAGCAGTCTAGCAGCTTCCAAGGCCTCCCCCCAGGCTGAAGGTGAAACAGCTCCCTAAGGACGCGAGTTAAAGGTGTGTACTCTGTTCTTGCCAGATGGATTGGTGCAGTTTTCGTTAGTTACAGGAGGCGAGCACTAGAACCTTCCGTAGAGCAGCATGTTTCCCTGCGAAAAACAAGGCCTTGAGCCGAGAGGCTCCACTTTTCAGAGCGGATGATACCCGCGTCCGCAAGCAATGTTTCACGCGAGAGCTGGAGCGCGAAGTAAAAACCGCCGCTTCTCAGACAGCATCCATTTCAGCTAATGCCTTTGCAGTAGAGCACGACCGGCGAAAAGTGCGTGCCGGGTGGAAAAACGCTACATCTAGCCGCTGCATTCACGTGCAGTTCCGTTGGACAAGTGTGCTGCCTTCAGATCAAACAAGCCATAAAATACAGCAATGCGGTAATTGCGTTGGCATCGGTAGAAACCGTATCGTGCTCGTCGTGGCACGACCGTGGCTTTATCGGCGATGATTAAGAACGCCAGGCACCCATTAAGTATCCATTCAGTAGGTACCTGGTTTCTTTATGCAAGGTGTCGAATCTTTTGCTACTTGAGAAGTGTTCTCGATTAGATTGAAGTTGCAAGCACTTACGCTCGTTAAAAATGGCGCGCGTTAGTCACTTAACACGCGCTCGGGCGGGGAGTCAAATTCGCCTCCCCCCGAAGGTTTTTCCAGAATGGTTTCCGAACGGCGCGGTGTAGCCGCGCCCAATTTTGAATAGCTGTCGAAATTTGAATAGCGGATCGTGTGGCATAACAAATTTAGCTTTACCTTGTAAGGTCGCTGACCTATGGCAGGTCAAAGTCAGACTGTGGTTTCAGCGAAGCCAATTTCTAGGGAATTCTTCAATCTGATCCAACAGCGGGGTGTTAGGCGAAGACATACATATCTGAGAGGCTTTCTTAGGCAACACCACAGTTGAATGAACAAATTAAATTGGCCTAAGGTCAGGTATAAAGGTCACACCAAGGTCAAAACCAACCTGTTTTATTACTATAGGGTTTGCTGTATGGGATAGTTTCTAGTACTCATTTCAAATATATTGATAGCCGGAACCCCATTATGCATCTTCCATGGACTTCTTAGAGGTCAGAATAGGTCATTGACCTAAAATGACCTAGGTCAACATTTTGTTTTGGGAACATACTGTCTAGCGTAATCTTTGTCGCTTACTCAAACGTAAAACTCCAAGCAATCTTGTATGATTTTGGTCACCTTGACCTTCAAAAGGTCAAACAAGGTCACTGATCTTAAATGAGAATCTGACCTTTTGCTTAGAAACGGCTATGTACGTTCCTGGGGGCACTTTGGACACCAACCTGGAACTTGACCTTGCTTAACCTATTTTGACCCGAAGATCATGAGCCAATAATTTGAAACTTTGACCTAAGTGAGCTCATGTATACGTCAACACACCCTGTAAATTTGGTGTCTCTAACTCTCTTAGTTCCCGAGATCTTAGCGGGAAAATTGTTCTCCCCTCCCGAGCCAGGGATATCTAGCCGGCCACCCGGGCGCATGTTAATGGTCACTGAGGTATGACATCACTCAATCATCTAACATCCTTCAGAAAAACCACAAAAATTATATAGCACCTTAAGAAATGGTGCTGCGTTCCCCAAAGCTGTCTTATTTGTTCTCCAAGAAACATATGCATATAGACAAATGAATAGCCAATCTTGTGACTGAAGAAAGTGAATAAGATGTGCATTCTGTAGTCAGAAAATTACAGCGGGTCAAAATCAGGTCATGGCTGTCACCGGACGCAATTGCAAGCTGATGCGACAATGACGAGGATTGTATTACAGGCAACAAGACAGTTGGTGTCGGGATTGCAACCAATTTCAATGGTGGGCCGTGTCGTATATTGCCACACGTAAAACTTTCGCCTCCAAGCTCCGCCATCAACCTGCAACTTCACAATCGCTTGGCAGGGATGGCATGGTGGTAGTTAGGGTCGTGTTGAATAAGAACTGTCATGGAGTTGCAGAAATCTCTTCGTGGTGGCTGCACAGATGTTCTCGTAAAGTAGTCAGGAATAACAACGAAATAACCAGTATATGTGAGCTTAGCATGGTGTGCATATTTATACCAAGGGAAGGTATCAGGCAGGTATACAGAGTTTCTCAGGTGGGCCAAACGGCTAATTTTCTCCGAATTTTCCTACAAATTTGAACACAATTCATGTTTCATTGCCCGGTGCCTAGTGAAAACTCAGATGCTGGGTACATTTCCGAAAGCTCCGATGGTCTGGATAGCTTTGTTGGTAAGAGCACTCGCCTGTGGCATGGTGACATGACGAACCCACCGGTGGCCAGGTGGGTTCGAGTCAGTTAGGGCGCTCGCCATTTGCCCTTCACTGGAATGACCTGCGAAAGGGGGAAGTGATCGCGGTGAAGAAAAGGTGACGTCAAAGGCAAGACATGCCGGAGGATCGGATGGGCGGGGGGATGGCGGAGGGGCTCACACAAGCGCAATTCACGGATTGAATTCCCATTGGCTGGTCCAGTGCAGCCTGGCTAGTCCAGATTCAATCCGCCCGCCAATTCCCGTTTTCCTCGATTTTTTAATCCAACCCGTTCCGGTCCGCATTACCAGAAAAATGCATGAAATGAATCCATGACAATGTACTTCCATCTGAAGTACATAAAAACAATTACAGCACATTTGGTTCATCTGTGTATCTAGAATTTAAGAAACTTGCTGATTTCCATTGGAGAAGTGTGCACTAAGGTGCCATAAGCCAGTGGATGCTACGATGCTCAACGCAGCTTGTCTGTCAGGAATGCAGTGCTGCGTGGAAATCAGAACAAACGGGGTTCGTCATAGCATTTATCACATCACAGTTATTTTGGCCAATAATTCACAATAAGCACAACATCAAAGGGGCTAAAATCCCTTCTGGATTAGATAATCCGGAGGCATAAACGCATGAACTAACACTGCCCAACTCCAGGTTAGGTGCAACATACCTACACATGCTACTACACAGTTTCAGCGTCACCCAGTTCACAAGTGCAGGACTGACGCTCATCCAGTACACCTCCTGATTTTTTTTTCTCACCAGATTACCGGCTGAGTTAGCACTAAGATGCACGTGTGCAACCGTCCACTGCCTGCGGTACGTGATCTTTTATTCAGGGGAATGAAACAGTCGCGTCATTTTTGAATCCTATTCCTAAAATGGCAGATGCCAACAAATCGTTCTAGTAATTCCGAATGAGCAAAATCCAAGTCGATGCGTTCATGCGTTTTGTTCCCTAGAGCACTCTTCCGCTCAAAAGTATACCAAACGCGATGTGACCTGATTTCTTATCTGATGCCTGCTTCAACATCCTCACATGTGTAACGTTCTCTTAAAGTCAGCATCGGGGATGAGGGGCTTAGGCACTCCGAAAGCATACCAAGGGACACCCCTGGAGGAGCATCTTCGTTTGTGTTGACCTTTTTCCTCGTAGTTTGACCTCATTTTGATCCGAGCTATTTCGCGCTATGAATAAGTAAGTGCTGGTAGGGATTCTGGCGTACAGTAAATTGGTCAGTGACCTGCATGTTGTGGACATTCTCCTTGAGCCACGTTTAAGGTGTCTTAACGATAACAAATTCATAGCCGTAAATTCGCTTTCGTAGCAATATCAGTGCTACAATTCGCTGTAGTTCACCAGTGCGTGTATTCTAGATTCATTATTCCCGGCTGCTCAGCAGAAATACCCTCCCGTTGCACCATCATTCTTCGTACCTCTGCAAGAAAATAGTCACAGGGGAACACCGAGTTACCGTAGAATAACGTTTATTTGGGAATTATTACCTGAACAGCACGTTTGTTTGCAAATGGTTTCCATCCTGTCACATAAGACGCACCAGACGAACTTTTTGTTCTCCATGCAAGCTCTGCTCAGTATTGGCTAGTCGCCGTGCTACTTAATGCATCATTCAGGATATTACTTTATCTCGAGGCATATAAAACATGAATCCAACCTCTCTTCGATTATCAGTGATAGGGCATCTACAAGATAACACGGATTGCTACGAATTACAGGATAGCATGTGTTTTCCTAAAGCGAACGCAGGGACGTCTTCATATCCGTTGGGGTGTGCGAAAAACATTTTGATGACGTCAAACGCCAAAACAATGCGAAAACGTCGGGTACTTTGTTGAACTGAGGCTATTCTGTATTGAAGTAAGACCTCGAATGAACATCAAGGCGTTCTCCCAGGGGGAAAGCCCGAGTTCCCGCACACGCATCAAGGCTGCTGCGGCACCAAAACAGGAACAACTAGGGCTGTTTAAAACTACGGGTAACAAAGACCGAGACAAATACTCCACCTTTCAAAGAACATACCACCGAGCCTCCGGCTGGTCGGGCAACGTAACAACGTCCAGAAACTTAATGCCGCGAAACACTTGCTCACTGGGACGTACGGTCGCGGACCCACGCCGAGCGACCCTGCCGTCGGGTTCGCACGGCTCAGAGGCGAAACACAGCCCAGTCTGGGCGACAGGTCACAGCGGAGCAGAGGCAGGACGCCAGCGTGAGGGGCAGAGGGGCCAAGAGGGAGGGAAGGGGTCACGTCCCCTGGCTCGGGGCGCGACCCGATCCGCTGGCGGCCGTGACACCGGGTCAGGTGACGGTCAGAGCAGGCCTGGCGCGGCCGCCCGCGACGCGGCTGGTGGCTGCAGTGGGGCTGCTATCGAGGCGAGGCGAGCGCGGGCGGCGGCGAGCTGGCGGCGCAGGCCGTCAGCCGAGGCGGTCACAGCCGGCGGCTCGCCAGCTGACGGGCACGCCGGGCCGGTCGGCTCAGCGGGGTCTCCAGCTGGCCGGCCGGCCGGCCCCGGACAGCTCATAGGCGTACATAGTCAGCAGCTGGGCCCGCGAGCAGCATCAGTCCAGGAAGCCAGTCTTCACCAACTTGTCGAGGAAAAACTTGACGTCGCCAAGCTCGGAGTCCTTGATGCCGAGCGACTTCAGCATGCCCATGTCGCCGTTCTCAACGGCCATGAACACGGATCGTAGGTGCTCCACATCGTTAAACATCAAGTCCAGAGCCTTTCCGAAGTCTTCAATGGTCTGAGACTCTGAAATAGGAGGAACGTCTCAGCGACAAATAAAAACAGAACGGCGCTGTACAAGGGGTGACAACTAAAGTGATGAGCCTACACAACAGCCCCATATGTAAGACGAGAAGACGAGCAAGAACGTGCCCTGCCTGTTCTGGGCTCTTACAGAACCATGAGAGTATATCGGCCACTTTGGGGCAAAAATACATTACCGCTTGACCTGCATACAAAGTGGGACATTTCAGTCTGAAAATGCCGGTCGCTAACATAATACGCTCGTAGAACTGACTGGCAAAAATCTCACGGCTCTGAACCCGCTCTTGCTTTGTACACCAATCCGCCCCGACTTAAACCTCCGAACGTCGTTCAAATAAGTGTCTGCTGCGTGTGCGCTGGCCTGGCGAGTGCGGTGCAGTCCGCCACCGAGCCAGCGTGGACGGCCGGCCATCTGCCGCCTGCGCTAGCCTGGCGAGCGCGGTGCAGTCCGCCACGGAGCCGGCGTGGACGGCCGGCCATCTACCGCCTGCGCTAGCCTGGTGAGCGCGGTGCAGTCCGCCACCGAGCCAGCGTGGACGGCCGGCCATCTGCCGCCGCACATTCACGTCACGCTCATCACTCTCACATCCTCTATGTGCGCCCGCTCTCAGCCCAGCTCATCCCCATGATTGGCCGATGGGCCGCCGCCGCGTCCTGCGACCCGGGCGGCGCAATCGGCTCACGTGCGCCACTCGGCAGGTTGCGCGGCGACGCCAATCCCGGCGTCCATGCTGAACGGCACTCGATCCGGCGGCGGTCGCGGGAGGGGGGGGGGGGGGGGCGACCAACTGCCGGGGAGCGGACCGACTGTCAGGAGAGCGGACCGACTGTCAGGGGGAGCAGACCGACTGTTGGGGAGCTGACCGGCTGCCGAGGGGAGCACAACGGCTGTCGGGGAGCAGAGCGGCTGTGGAAGGAAGCGAAGCCGCTGCCCACTCATCGGGCCGGGGCGCAGTGTCGGTGCTCCGTGCTGCTGACGTCACAGACGATCACGAAAGTCGGCCAAGATGTGGGCCAGGCACACCGGGGTATTGTCAGCGGTGCTTGTTAAGGGCCCCATGTACTGGAGGGTCCTAGCGCGAGTGATGTATTAAAATTCTAAGAAGCTGGTCGTTGCTCTCAAATGGCAATGACTGTGTCCATACCATGCGCCAGGGCATAAGTACATCTGTGCCAACTGGTGAAACCCGGACGACCAATCCTCACAATAATGCCTGGCTTACGCGCATTTTGATCCCTCTTCCGCACTGATCTTCCACCGGCATGTGCGACATCGTCACGTTTCTATTGGGTCGGGTTAAGTTGGTAAAGTTTGACTCGTTCCTCTGAAGCCGGTTGGTGTAATGAAGTAATTTTTCCACACGAAAACGTGAAAACCGTGATAAGTGCCTATATTTGGTAGATTTGCTGGTGCTTTGCATTGTGCGGCAGGTTTCATTTAATGTGTCCTGCCACATGTGTATCTGATAGAGTTTTTCACCGATACAGGAAACATTTTGCCAGCCGTGAAATTGCCCTGTAGTGGTGAAAATCACTGCATGGGTCCGTTACTTTTTAGCCAGCCATTTGAAGTTTAGAGTTATCGATGGTTTCATGAAATTCCATTTGTCTTTATCCGAGCTTTGCATGCAGTTGTGGTGCTCAGGGCTCTGTTTTACTTGTTAGTGAAACCAAAATTGCCGATTTCTGCTCTATAGGTCGGCATCCATGTCAGAACACAAACTGGCGGCAAACATCCACGGGTTTGTTCCCAGCTTTACAACTTTCTGGTCACGAAAGGCGCCTTATTCCTGGCACGCCTCAACGAAGTCATCGTATAACCGTGCTCGTGGCAACAAACAAATATTAGCCTGCCTCACTGCGATCGATCCAATCGCTCAGCAGCATAGCCGTAATTGCCACGAGTCTCTATGGGCAACAGGCTTGTTGGATGGCGCATTGTCGTTGGGTATTGAGTTAGTGGATTCGATAATGAATTATCGTGTCTGTCATTACAGCCTGGTGCTACAAAAGAAAGTGGTGTTACGGGATTCGGTGACAAGAAGACTACCTGTGTGTTTAGGACAAGGCTTCTTCATATGTGTAAGCTCTATTCGTTCAAACATCTGATTTGGACGTCAAACCTCGCGTCCTGGCCCAAGAGCACCTGTAAAGTTACTGCGGGCCTGAAACCTGCCAGACGTTATGACCTCAGTCAGCCGACAGTCGTTGGGCGCTACCTGGTCCGCGCGGTGGTCGGTTGTCCGGGACAGAGTGGCACCATCGAGCCTCTTCAAAACTTTACGGGATTAGAAGCTGCCCTTCAGCTGGCGCTTACGCCATCTGACGTTAGCAGCAGCGGCGGTCGGCCGCCAAGACGCGCCGCCCCGGGGACACTCCTGCCGGGTATAGGCTGGCGGCGGCTGTCACGCCTGCCTGGGACGCCATGCCACGGCTCAGTTCGCTGAGACGGTCTTCGACGCTTCAATTCGCCGTCATTTCCCGACGGATGGGCCAGGTGTCGCCTCGCCGGCCTCTCGCCGTTTCCCCCGGGACGCCACCGCGACACCACGTCCGCGACCTCCGCCAGGCGCCGAGTGAAGTATTCGACCAGAGGCAGAGTTGACGGAGTGAGCTCTCCCATACGCGACAGGGTGGCCTGTGGTATCCAAGACCAAACGAGCTGTTTCATCTGTACCGGTGACCTGCCTCAGCAGCGACACCTGGGGCAAAGTGATCCGTTTCACTAGATGCGGAGTGAGCTATGTCGACCAAGGCAGAGCGAGCTGTTTCATCCGAGACAGAGACGTTGTTCTTTCGAGACAGGGGCACTGCTCAGTTGTGCATTAGAGACAATTATTTGTCTCATCCGAGATGGAAGCAGCCGTCTCACCCTAGGCAGGATGAGTTGATTCATCCGGGACAGAGTGAGCTAGCTGTCTTGCTCAAGACACAGTGAGCTCTTCAACCCGGGACAGAATAAGCTGCCTCACGCGAGTCACGTGAGCGTGAGCCGTCTCACCCGAGACAGAGAAAGCTGCAGCCCTTAAGACAAAGGCTTATCTCACGCTTTCAGATCGCTTATGATATGCTTCATGAAGACTCAAAGGAGCAAGCTACATCTTTTGGACGCATACGGTCAGATACCTGTGTACGCTGACATCACGCGGTACGAAGCCTAATGTGGGTTTCGTCTCTTCATTTTGGCTAAACATAGCTCAGAGCTTCCGTGGACGCAAGGTAGGCATGGTCATTACTCGTCAACCTGGCTTTTTAAGCTTGCAATCAAACAACATTGCCAATGAGTCGGCCATACGTAATCTGGTTGCAGTTGGTCCTTAGGCGTAAGAGTATGTAAATATACATTGAACGCTTTACTTACTTAGCCGTCCCGCCAGAGACGGTGCGAAACCTCATAACCAGCACAGTGCGCCGCTCCACCTGACATGAACAGACTCGCGTGTTACAATGTGTCCGCTCGACTGACTAAATGCTCTCTCTCTCTCTCTCTCTCTCTCTCTCTCTCTCTCCTCTCTTCTCTCTCTCTTCTCTTCTCTCTCTCTCTCTCTCTCTCTCTCTGCTCTCTCTCTTCTCTTCATCTCTCTCTCTCTCTCTCTCTCTCTCTCTCTCTCTCTCTCTCTCTCTCTCTCTCTCTCTCTCTCTCCTCTCTCCTCTCTCTCTCTATCTTCTCTCTCTCTCTCCTCTCTCTCTCTCTCTCTCCTCTCTCTCTCTCTCTCTCTCTCTCTTCTCTCTCTCTCTCTCTCTCTCTCTCTCTCTCCTCTTCTCTCTTCTCTCTCTCTCTCTCTCTCTCTCTCTCTCTTCCTCTCTCTCTCTCTCCTCTCTCTCTCTTCTCTCTCTCTCTCTCTCCTCTCTCTCTCTCTCTCTCTCCTCTCTCTCTCTCTCTCTCTCTCTCTCTCTCTCTCTCTCTCTCTCTCTCTCTCTCTCTCTCTCTCTCTCTCTCTCTCTCTCTCTCTCTCTCTCTCTCTCTCTCTCTCTCTCTCTCTCTCTCTCTCTCTCTCTCTCTCTCTCTCTCTCCCCTCCGTCTCTCTCCCCTCTTTCCCCCTCTCTCTTTCTCGCGTCAGTTAAACGTGCTGAATTAAAGTCGCCATCACAAGCCGTGTTTTCAGTGAAACCCAATGCAGGCATTTGGGCACTTCTGTTAGTTATGACTGACATGAGACCAGACATCGCATAACATTAAAACAGCGTCGTCATTGAGAACACGATATGTTTTTCACACACGTAAGTTAAAGAGCCACCTTGCGACGAAGTAAAGCACTTCAAGTTGATCAGCGCGTTCGCTATATTGGGAATTCTGACACGGCTAGGTCGCAGCGACTCTCACGTCGTCAAGCCGTTCTATGATACAGTTTGCCTTGGGAAGTATGCTAATCGAAAAGCAAAGTTGTGCGGTCTAGAGCAGTCTTTTGCGCTTCAAAGCATACCAACAGTTGTAAGTGAGCTTTTTCATCATATTTCAGGCTTGCCTCAACATCTTTGAATCTGGAGCATTCCATTCAATGTTCACACAACGCTTTGGCAAGCTATTTCTGTTGGCGTTGCGAACTGTTCGTCGGCCCTTTCTAAGGATCTCAGGATGTCTGGCACACACCCCTGCGCACTGCAAAATGTTCTACAAGTACAGGCTTCGAATTCACGACTTCCGATGAGTAGACCAAGATGTTGCCCCATACAATATGTAGAACGAATGGCTAGCTGTGCCTCAGGTTTGTCTCTGGTATCTTTGTGCAATTGTCTTACTGCGGGTGACCCATTGGGCTGATATCTGCGCCAGCCTGATGATATGGTTTGCATCATGTGCTACGTGCACAGCTTCCTTCACCTTTTGCATTTCACCACTAGGCTTCCAGCGGAGGATTCCAAGGGCAGCCCAACGTCACCACGACCAACCCCGAACCTCGGCCGAATCGCGCGGAATCGATGGGAAATAAGGTGGCTGCGAATTCGGGTAAGCGTGTGAGTGGGCCGCCAGGTTAGCCGGCGTGGCTTAGTCAGAATGTACCTGCGTTCGGAATATACCTCGGTTGTTTGCACGATTTGCACATTGCACGACAGAGAACCGAAGCGAAAGACAGTGGTGGTTACGTATATTTTTCTTTAGATTGCTCTGCACTGATGGATCTACTAGGTTTCTGTCACATAAAACCGCTCGGGTAGTCTTTGCGTTGGACTTCTCAGTGAGATAGCACATTTCGGCTGTGTCACCGGCACTGATTTCTGTGCGATGCTGCAAAATAGCGGTTAGAATCTTAAGCTACAAGATCGGATTTGTGGACTGACGCTCGTTGCAGCCGAACACTTTGGAGCTTTTGAACACACATGACTGTGCACCAAACCTCACAAGGTTCTTATCAGTACCGAGAAGCACGTGAGCACTTGACGACGGCCGGAGAAGTAGCCGATCAAAGCGTCTGTTAACGAGAGCAGCAAGCACGATTATTACAGCCTGGGTCACTATGTCAATCGTACGCTGGCGTTTTGGTCCAAGCATTCCGCAGCCTACGGATTCTTACCTTGGAGCTCTCCGCTGATGTGGATGGTTGTCGCACTATCGACCGCTGCTGAGCTCCAGGGTTCTCACCTGACAGAGCTACTGCCACAGCCTCCACGCCCCCCAGCGGCAGGAGTGTGTCGCGTGCTTTCGAGCCGAACAATTTCTCCAGGTAGTTCGGCCCGTGACTCGCCAGCAGTGACTTGAGGAAGCTGGCCGTCTCCTCTACCGGTGGTCGCCGCGCTGCAGCAAAGGACCAGCCTGTCACCCCAAAGTCACTGTTGCACGCCACTGCAACAACGCCGATTGCTGGCGGGTGTGTCGTCACATTACGGCGGCGGCTGACAGAGAGTACAGCGGGGTGCGCGTAGTTCGTCATGCATCGGTGCCCACTGCCGCATACCAGCGCTGAAGGCGGTAGCTCGGACGTGGGTGCGCCCCGTGTTCCCACGGGCGTCGGCTTCTGCACTTTTGCAGTGCATCGCGATGCAGACCTTCCTAATACGTATATTGAGTTTCAGAGCTAGAACCTTGGAAAGTCATGACGACGTAGCAAGTACAGGGATGATCAAGGGAAATAAGTATAGAGCTGACAGAAGAGAGTAGTTTGCCAGAAATGAAAACGCCATGGCCTGAGTGAATAGCTCGTGACGCACTTTCTCAGTCCCATCACAAGACTTTGGATCAAATGAAGTTTGTATGCATCGATGTGCCAACCCGTTGTAAGTAAATGGCCTTGCACACGTTGATGGTAAGCATTCGAAGAAATGAATGAGCTGCAGCGCGACCACTGAAAGACTTATGCTTAATATGAATTCGGTTGCAACGCATGAAGAGAGGGGACGGTTAAATTATCAGAAAAGCCGATATCGGCTCACCTTTTGGTAAAGGCGGAACCAAGGTGTACATTTCAGTGGTGAAAATAGAAGACAAGTTTGCCGTTGGTATGATTAGCAGTCCCAGTACAGCTATGCGCCGTAAATGAAACATGCACTCATGCGGGGTATACGAACAGGAGTCATATGCGTATCTTGTTTTCGAACGGGGGGGGCCTTCTCTGGCGCCAACGTGCTTGAAGGGGGAGTTCACCTTTGAGGCATGTTTCAAAAAAACATTCTCTAGTAAAACCTCATGACCAGTTTATCTAACAAAAGCACTGCGTGGCGTCCATGCAGTACCGTCAATACACAAAAATGATATCAATTTCAGTTATTTTCGAATTATCAAATTAGTCCCGATTACCCAATCAGCGCTTTGTATCAAAACCAGTTTCCCTGCTTTCGCGACCACTGTCGTCATGACAACCCCCGTGGCACATCCACCGGTGCGAACAAAAGAATGTTTGTGATTGACCCAGCGGGCGGCAAGGGCCTGTTACCTAGAAGCGCATCGTTTAACATTGGAACCAGTGCATAACTCTGGACCATGTGATGCTTCCATTCCAAAAGCCAAAGCGCGATTCGAAAAGAACCAGGGGAAAATAGCTTCATTTTGTCTTAACATTAGTTCAAGCTTTCGAAGCATTTATAACACTAATACTTTGACGAATTGGTGCGTTGCAAACATCCAAGAGCACAAACATTGGAAAGCAAGACAAATGAAAGGTGTCAATCTCAGGGTGGTAAGCAGGGAGTCCAATAAGATTTTTCTCGCAGGAGCGGCTACTTGAAATCAAATTTTCAGCTATACAGAACGTTTTCGAGAAGGCTGGTGCTTCTGATCAAATCGTGCGCGTCTCATCTAGCAATAAGGGGAATGTGCAAAAAGGTGGCATGCTCCCTTCAAGGAGGTCGCAGCAGTCAGCATGGAAGTCATGCAGTAAAACTTATGACGACATGGCCAGCGACCCCGTGCCGCAGTCAAGAAGGTGGGGTCACGGGATGGACGCCCTCGCTACAAAAATCAGGATGTATACATAATTTCTATGAATAAATATGAACTATCATGTATCAGCGTTGTCCAGGACAAAATTAGCCTTGAAATGTAATGTAAAAAAATGTAGCCTTTCTTGCAAAAAAGTGAAATATTCCCCAAGCATCTGCATCAACAAAGATATCCCCCACGCTTCCAGGCATGGTGCTGAATGGCAGGCGTCACCAAGCACATTGTCGTAGGTGTTCCTTAACCTCGGACGTGGCTTGTGAGAAATATGGAATATGGATACAATGGATAATATGGATACAAAAAATAGATAGATTACTTCATTAATAAACAAATCTTAATTAATCAATGAAATCCCGAATTTTGAAAGAACCAGAACCTGCACTGAAGCACTTTAAGCTGAGGGAATACAACGGTCATGAGTTTGGGGGAGGCCGGGAAAAGGAGCAAGTCCCAATACTATCCGACGGCACACAGGGATTCTCGGCCGATACCGGCGCACTAAGCTGGTTGCCCAGTGGCAGTATTTTAGTTATGCTTGCTCTCTTCCCCTCCTGTTTGCAAAACCCTTCACACATCCTTGTCTGGACCCTATTAAGATATTTTTACTTATCCCGTTTTTTGCGATGAGTAATGTGTAGACGATGGCCGAACGGGTGTGGCGAGCAACTCACCCGGCCCTCTGATCAAAACGGGTGCGGCGAGCAACTCACCCGGCCCTCTGATCAAAACGGGTGTGGCGAGCAACTCACCTGGCCCTCTGATCAAAACGGGTGTGGCGAGCAACTCACCCGGCCCTCTGATCAAAACGAAAATGCATCTTCTGTGTAGGACGTTGTCGAGCAAATGCACATACAAACTCTCGAACTCTGCAAACCGTCAGATTCATCGCCGATCCTACGGTGACGTCCGTTCCGACTGGCCTTAATTTAGCCGGGTTGCTGGGGACAAAGACGTGGTGCAGTACCTGAGCCGGGTTGCTGATGGAAGAGACGTGGAAGTACCTTAGCCCGGCTCCTGATGGGAGAGACGTGGAGCAGTACCTGAGCCGGGCTCCTGATGGAAGAGACGTGGAGCAGTACCTGAGCCGAGCTGGGGATAGAGAAAGGTGGAGCAGTACCCGAGCCGGGCAGCTGATGGAGGGGGCGTGGAGCGGTACCTGAGCCTGGCTCCTGATGGAAGAGACGTGGAGCAGTACTTGAGCTGGGCTTCTGACGGGAGAGACGTGTAGCAGCACCTGAGCCGGGCTGATGAAAGAGACGTGGAGCAGGACTCGAGCCTAGCTCCTGATGAAAATGGCGTGGAGCAGGACCTGGGCCGGGCTTTTCAAGGAAGGGGCGTGGAGCATAACCTGAGCCGGGCTGCTGACGGTGCGAGGCCGGTATCGGTTGGCGCGGTCGGCACGGGGCACGGACCTCGTCAGCCAGCGCCATGAGGGCAAGGCTGTGAAGAGCGTCGCTGCACGCAGAGCCAGCAGCGATCTCATCCAGACCGGAGCACCCATGCGCTTCACCGATCGCAGGCTCTGCCACCGTGTCAGGCTCAGTCCTCTTCCCGTCAGCACGGCTTCTTGTGCCGTACTGTCGAGAGCGTGCCGCTGCTTTGACTTCCACTTGGAGAGCCCCGCCCGTGCACTACATACCGCCGCGTGGGCTGGTCGTGAGTGTCCCTGGCCACACAAGGTGATCGTTTTCGGCGGATCGAGCCGGCGGCCGATGGCGACGAGCGAGACAGCCGCGAATCGGCCCGTCTCTGGAGTAACTTCACAGCTCTGTCCAGATCTCCTGACCTCCGGGGCCCAGGTGACCGCTGTGAGCGTAGTCCCAGCTCCTGACAATGGACTCGGTGTTCGTTGATGTCTGTCGTGGGACGTGCTCGGACCTCGCGGAGTGGCAGATGGGTTGCCGCCATCGCTTCTGCACGAGCATGCTGGCGTTGGGGACCGTTGGTTTGGGGATTCCCAACAACCGAAAATTACTTATGCACCCGTGCTCGCCATCGCTCGCGCCACCCATGAAAACCTTGTGGTGGGTGAGACGGTGTCTGAGTGGAGGCGTGGAGCAGGACCTGACCGCGTTCCGTAACGTATGTGTGAAAAACGTCACAGGCCGCCGAGCACATGCCACTTTAATGTGATTGCGAGCGTAGTTTGTTCAGTGCATTTGCGAGGAACATTATTCACATATATAAGTCAGCAGTAATAGCCTTATCCCTCGAAGAAAAACCAGGATAATGGAGATATAGGCACTATATCTTCATTCTCCTGATCCCGGCATCAAGCCGGCCCTGGTCCTGCTTGATGCCTGGACTTTGGGAAACACATGGTTGACTAGGGCTGGGTTGTATAGGAACCCGGCCCAGGTCCCGCTCCACGTCTCCCCCATCAGCAGCCTGGTTCAGGTACTGCTCCACGTCTCTCCTGTCCGCAGCCCGGCTCAGGTACTGCTCCACGTCTCTTCCATCCGGAGCCCGGCCCAGGTACTGCTCCACGTCTGTCCCATCAGGAGCCCGGCCCAGGTACTGCTCCACGTCTATTTCATCCGGAGCCCGGTCCAGGTCCCGCTCCACGTCTCTTCCATCCGGAGCCCGGCCCAGGTCCTGCTCCACGTCTCTTCCATCCGGAGCCCGGCCCAGGTCCTGCTCCACGTCTATTTCATCCGGAGCCCGGTCCAGGTCCCGCTCCACGTCTCTTCCACCAGCAGCCCGGCTCAGGTACTGTTCCACGTCTCTTCCTTCCGGGGCCCGGCTCAGGTACTGCTCTACGTCTCTTCCATCTGGAGCCCGGGCCAGGTCCTGCTCCACGTCTCTCCCATCAGCAGCCCGGGCCAGGTCCTGCTCCACGTCTCCTTCATCAGCAGCCCGGCTCAGGTACTATATCTCCATTCTTCTGGTTTTCTTCGAGGAATAAGGCTAATACTTGTATACGAGGAATAAGTCCGTCCTGGCGGCTTAGTTGGTTAGAGCGCTTGCCTTCCGATCCACCCACCCGTGGCGGGGTGGGTTTGAGTCGCTTTAGGGCGCTCGCTATTTGCCCTTGACAGGTATGGCCTGCGGCCGGTGGCAGCGGTCGCGTTAAAGGTCAGTTGACGTCAGAGGGCAGGACGGACCGTGCCGAGCATTGCGGCACGTTAAGCTTTCGCCACCAAATTCTGCCGTTGACATGGGATTGCGCGATCGGATGGTAGGGGTCAGGGCTCACACAACAAGCACTGCTTAGCGTGAGCTCTGATCCCGGAAATCCATCCATTCAAAATGTTCGGATCAAATCTTGAAAAAAAATACTCCTGTCTTGTGCATGATTGGGAGCGTTTTTCAGCTCCGTGTTTATGCGATGATTGACATTTATCAGTTTTTCTATTCTC